AACCCCGGAATCATGGAAAGAGTATGCAATTTAAACTCAGAAGAATTTCGGTCACAGCTCTATCACACAGTAGTAACCATGTAACCTTGAGCAGATGAGTCAGTCACCTAACTTCTTTGGGTCTCAGATGAGGCTAGATGATTTTAGTATCCTTTTTACCAAATAACAGTTTATAATTCTAATAAATAACAATTTTACTTTCAAAATCACTAATTTTTCTAAAATAAGAATTTCTGAAATGTTTGGATCCATGTGACAAACTCTAGTTTTCAGAAAACTACCTTCTCAATTATTTCCTTTTGCCCTATGTCATCAACTTCATCTCAGTGGCTTTGTGTCCCACCAGCTTTTAAATATGTCCAAATTTCTCCCATTTTAAAACAAACCTCTATGAATCTCATATTCCATTCCATCTACCATCCTGTTTGTTCCTTTTCTTAAAGTGAACCTTCTCAAGAGTTGATGTCTACATTCACTGTCTTAGTTTTCTTACCTTACGTCACTTCTCAATTCATCTATCTGCCTTCTACCACTGACAGAGCTATGATGTCACTGTCGTTAAATCTAAAGTATACTTTCTGTCTTTTCCTTATCTTTGCAGTACCATTTAATTCCAGTTACATCTTCCTTCTTGAAATGTTCTCATCCTTTTTTTTTTTTTTAACACCATGCTTTACTGGTTTCTTCTTACCTCTTTTGGCTGCACCTTCTAAGTCACCTTTTCTGGCTCTCCTCTTTTCCCTAGCCTTTGAAGTTTTGTTTCAGGCCATATTTTCTTTTCAGTCCTGCATTGTCTTCCTAGGTGATCTCACCTATCTTTTAATTTCAGACCCATACCACCTACACAGCATCTCTACTGAAATGTTTTCCAAGTACGTCAAATTCAACATATTTTAAATAACTTGCCATCCCTGAGCATCCCGTTCCCACCCTCCCATCCCACCTGAATTTACTATTCCACTTGTGTTTCCACTACTAATAAATGTTATTATCTATTTGGTTTTGCCAGAAACCTGGGAGTTGACCTTTCTGTCATACTCTCCCTCACTGCCCTTTCTAGGACATGAAGCCTTTTGAATTCTGTATTCTAAATATTTCTATAATCTTTACTTCTCTGACATCACCATTTCTACGACACTAGTCCATTTGTCACCTGTTTTAGTAGCTTCTAACCAGTCTCCCTTTTTCTACTCTTACCACCTTTCGAGACTTTTTTTTACATGGCAGACATAGTGATTTCTTTTTGTTATTCAACAAATCAAGCAGCATTTTTTGAGCACCTAACACATGCAAGGCACTGGAAGTACAGAAGACTAGAAGATTAGCAGACAGCTTGCAACAGTTTTCTTCTTTCTTTCATTTTTTTTTTTTTTAATAATCTGAAACTTACAGAAATGTTGCAAGAGAACTTTTTTCCCTGATCCTTTTGAGAGGAAGTTGCTGATATGTTTTATTACCACAAATACTTACTCTATATCTCCTGCAAAGAAGGGCATTATCCTGTATAACTATAATAACAATCATGAAAATCAGAAACTTAACATCAATACATTACTGCTTTCTAGTCTTTGGATCCTATATATGTTTTACCATTTGTTCTAATATTGTCCTTTATAGAAAAAGGATCCAGTTCAGAATCACATATTGTATTTAATTGTCATGTCTCCTTATTTACCTTCAATCTGGAGCATTTACTTGGTCTTTCCTTGACTTTCATGACCTTGACACTTGAAGACGACAGGCCAGTTATTTTGTAGAATGTTCAGTTTTGCTTGTCTGTGTTTATGTGGTTATTCAGATTTTCATGTGGATATTCAGAATATTCATCTTTGGCAGAAATAACACAGACGTGACACTGTGTTCTTTTTATTGAATCCTGTCAGGTGGCATACAATTTAGATTATTCCAATTACTGATTGCATTGTAATCAAATGATAGAGGTATCTGTTATGCTTCTCATAAAGCTACTTGTTTTCCTTTGTAAATTGATAAGTATTTGTGGGGAGGGCAGTTTGGGACTGTGCAAGGTTTTTTGTTCATCAAACTTTCAATTTATTCATTTTTTTAAATCACTATGGACTCAAGGTTTCATAATTTATTCATTGGATTACAATCTATTATTATCATTATTTGCATTTTCAAATTCGCCCTGATTTAGCTAGTGGTCAGCTCTTCAAGCTGGCTTTTGTGTCCTTTTGGCCTGTCCCCTTCATTCTTGGAGCACTTTCTTTCCTTCTGGCACAAAATGTTCCAGGCTCAGTTCATACTAACTTTGTGTATCGAAAACCATAAGTTCATACTGATACCTCCAGTTCCAGTCCAACACCATCAGTTTCATTTCACTCTAGTTTTCTCCTTTTCCATATTTATAACTTTCTTCTTTGACCATGAGAAACCTAGTTCCCGTTATTCTTAATGTATTTACGCATTTAATTCCCCTTATGTGACTGATTTCCCATTGTTGCTGCCGCAGCTTTCTCCATGTGGAGAGTAAGCTCCCTCCTTATTCCATGTAGGCTTAGACGGCTTGCATCAGATCACTCTCCTAACACAAGAAACTGGTAGTTGTTTCCTAGGGAAAGGAATTGGGTAGCTGAGTGATAGAATAGAGGGGCATTCAGTTTTGTAACTTTTTTTGTACCCTGTGCATTTCTTATTTAGTCAAAAGATTAAAAATATATTTTTTCCTATTAATATCTTTTCTCTTTAACTAATTATTACAGTGAGTGTAATTTTTATAAAGATAAATAATGTTTATCTCACTCATAGTATCCCTGAGTTTTTCTATATGGAGATACTATCAAACCATGAGACGAAACCAAGTTCTGAGCTTCGGAAGATATTGCTAGGCTCTGTGACTTCCATAGTTCCAGTTCATGCACTATATCTTCATATTTCCCTCTTAAGGAACCACCCTACTTTTCTAGTGTAACTTCAAAGAAAACACCTGCATCTTTGATTTAAAACAGATTTTTAGTTATTGTTATTATAGGTATCCAAAAAGAAGATCAGTAAGCAATTAGAATGAGATACAAGGGTACTTAAAAAAGTTTGTGGAAGAAAAGAATTAAACTATACTACAAGTCCTTCCATGAACTTTTTGAAGCACCCTTGTATGTAGGTATACTATTTCATATTAAAGTAAAAATTGAGCTTAAGTTTCATCATACCAAGAAAAAAATCTAGGAATTTTGTATAACACAACATTTATTGAACAGTCACTATAAGTTATGCACCCAGAAATTTTAATTTAACATCCTTCAAGGAGCCCTCTACATTTTTGTAAGGATGTGTTCAGGCAGAAGGGAGTAGAAAACACATATAAAAACAAAACATAACAAGGTTGTAATAATTACAAGATAAACAAAGGAAAGCAAAACTCACAGAGCACCTATACCTACTTGATTTAAGGGTTCCAGATAACTTAGCTGAAAATTTGGGGTAAAACAATTTAATAAAATCATACAAGAATTTGGTAAGAAGATTAATTTAGTCAAAAATCCCAAACACAGGAGTTTTAAATATTTATTTTTAGACAATTGTTTTTGCTTTCTCAAGTTTGTTACAGAAGAAATTTCCAACAGACTAAGTAATCAACAATAGGGGATTAGAAAGTTGGGATTACTTTAAAAAGTCTTCTAATAATATGCACAAAAAATAAAAACATAGACTACCCTTAGCTAGAGAATAGGCAATACTGGCTTATGAATAAAGTAGAAAAGAAAAGAAATAAAACAGAACAGAAAAGAAAAATGTAGTCACAGTAAGAAATCTAGATCTCTTTCTTTATATATCTTTTTTACTTTTAAAAAAAGTCATAGTTTTTATTAAAGTAAATACACTCATTGGACTCTACCCAAAGGAATGAAAACATATGCCCATGCAAAGACTTGAACACAAATGTTCATAGGAGCGTTATTCCTAATAGCCCCAAACTGGAAATCATGCAAATGTCTATCAGCTGATGAATGTATAAACAAAGTGTGATAAATCCATACAATGGAATGCTATTCAACAATAAAAATCAATGAACTGCTAATGCATGCTTCATCATGGGTGAACCAAAGAACACTACAGTAAGTGGAAGAATACAGACCAAGAAACCACATGTTCATTTCATTTATATTAAATGTCTGGAATGGCAAATTTATAGACACTAAAAACAGACGGTTGTGTAGATCTAAGGGTAGCAGCAGGAATCAACTGCAAACAGCTGTCAAGGAACTTTTGGGTGATGGAAATGTTCTAAAACTGGATTGTAGTGATGATTGTAGAACTCTATAAATTTATTAAGATCATTAGATTGCACACTTATAATTGGGTAGATTTCATGATATGTTAATTATACCTCAGTAAAGTGTTTTAAAAAAAGAAAAGCATAGTCATTACAGAGAAACACTGATCAGCAAAACAGAGCATTTTAAATGGATCCTTCCCAGTCATTCACCCTAATCTAGGAGTATATCATTCCAAAATCCTTTCACTGCGTACGTATCATATCTTATTTTTCTTCAAAATTGGAATCATATAACACTCACTCAAATATTCCCAAATAAGGAAAGAGCCTCTCAGACAGAAAGAACAGAATGAAGAAAAACAAAGGGCAGGCAGATAAGTCAAGTATCACAGAAATCTGAGGTGAAAATTTGGTGGAATGGGAATGTAAATTGATCCTAGATTGAGAAAACAGATTGAGTTCCCTGGTGGTAGTATAATTCTGATTGAGGATTTAAAATTTGGTGTGATATTTGGCTTCATTTTAAAAAATATTTATTGGTATTTTTCATAAGCTGTAGTTTTTAATTCATAAATCTGTATAACTGTAATGAGTAAGAAGTTTGTTTTTGTTTTTTACTCTCCATAAAGGCCTACAGCAGTGAATTCTTTAATTTCAAAATATGGATTTCAGGAGCAGCTTCTTTACTGTGAGTTGGGTTTAAATATGTCATTAGCTGCTGAATAGACTATTAATGTAAAACTTATTAATTTAAATGTTTTTCCCTCTTTTAATCTTAAAACCTGAT